TCCTTCGGACATAGTTATGTCTGGTTGCGACAAAAGGGGCGCACTTGTCGCAAGTACGCGATGACAGATTTTATGTCCAATGTAAACACCAAAAGCGTAAGTGCGACCCCTACCTTAGTCAGTGGCGTATTTAGACCTTGAGCAAAGGAAGGGGGAGTTGTGTGTGTGTGTACAGCTGCCACATTTTCATCCCTCTGCGTATATATATATTTTTTTTACCCAAACGTTCGTTGGGGTTGAACGCCTACGAGTTTCTGGGTTCGTTGGTTCGAACTTTTATACGTACGCTCGTCGATTCGAACATTCTTACGTTCTGATGTGCGTGCGATCTTACTTTGGTTCATTCACTCATTTATCCATTATCTTTTCACTGTGCAGTGAGCCTTTTGAAAATATCTTCCCCTTCTTATTACTCGCAGGTTCAGTTTGTCGGATTTGCAGGAGGTTTTCGTGATGGATGCTTGGAAACGCGTCGGATTGAATGCCTTTCTTTTGTTAGTATTGATGATGCCGACACCTGTCCTAGGTATGTGACTGCACTGGATGTAACACATTTCTTGGGAGATGATAAAAGCAAATGATTCCCTGGATAACTTTGAAGATGGTACCTTGGGGTCTCAAATTTATATTTATTTAAATAATTCATTACATTGGCATTCCAAATTATAAACAATGATCTCACTCATGTGAAAGCATTAGGTCTTTTGTAAGGGTCCGTATGGGATTAAGTGACATGTAACTAAATGTTATAATTGTAACTGTTAGGAAAAAAATCGTCAAAGTTTAAAATGACAACCAGCAAATGCCCACGCTGATAACTGATGCCTGCCTTCTTCTTTGCATCTACAGTTTTTTAATCATATTATGATATTGTCTCGTTATGGTCTTCTCTCGTACTTGCAGGGACATCAAACTCAACTGCGCTCAATAGTGCATTAAAAACGGCAGTAGCATCAAAAAGTTCATCTTCATCTCCTGCTACAGTGCCAGCACCATCAGGAAGCTTATCTGCATCTCCTAGTATAACGGACTTCCCAACTGCGCCCGATACTACATCAAAAACTACAACGGTAGCAGAGGCAACAACATCAGGAAGCTTATCTGCATCTCCTAGTATAACGGACTTCTCAACTGCGCCCGATACTACATCAAAAACTACAACGGTAGCAGCGGCAACAGCATCAGGAAGCTTATCTGCTTCTTCTCTAAGAGCATCACTAACGTTAGCTGCATCAAAAGCATCAACAAAAACACCAACAGCAAAGGTGACACTAGCAACAGGTACAGGATCAGTAGCAGTGCCTTCAGTGCACCAAAGCCCGTCACCTTCAAGCTCATTCAACCTTCCACCTTCAAAAAGTTCTTTTATACCAACAGGGACACTGACGCCTCACCAGATCAAGTACCCTATGATAGTGGCAGTAACCTTCAAAATGACTTGGGGAGACTTATGTCCTTTGCTTACTCTATTTAAAGAGCGTCTTTCGCAGCATCTTCTTGAGTACAAAGGCTACAAAAACACTGAGTATTACAACGTCGCAACGGATAGGATAATACTCATCAACAGAGATAAAAATTGCGACGACAAGTCGTTTTATGACGAGGAAGCCGTTATAGAATTCTACATTACTGACAACAGTACAGTGGATAGTGTTAGTATGGCAAACAAAACTGACATACCGATAACAATCAAGGCTTTTAAGATTTTATATGATTACTGGGTGAACCACTTAATGGTACGTCTACACGAAGTGTTTAGAAAGCAGGTAAGTGGCATGAGAAGTGAGGTTTAAGCTCAGGCAATGTGATGTATATGTAGCGAAGGTAATAGAGGTTTTGCATGGCAGCCATGTTGCATGGCAGGAACAATGAAAATATTTTGCATAAGAAATAAATTTTTTCCCATGGGAAAACTAATCTACTGTTCCTGCCATGCAACATGGCTGCTGTGCAAAACCTCTATTAGCTTCTAGATACTTGAATATATTCACTCAGTCCTCTAAACTCGATGCTTGATACTCAAGGACCACTTATAGATTTTATTGGGACTACCGAATCATTTTCGAGTGGTTTCACTGGTATGGACTTATGAAGCAGTGCTCAGTAAGTACATAAACAGTCAAACGTGATGCTCAGAGAAAGACTCACTTTCTTGTTGTGAATGGGTTATTAAAGAGTTCTAATAATAAAACGAAACAAAATGAACCCCTCAGAGAGGCATAGGTTTAAATTTACAGGGAGGAAAGGCGTAGCAAGTTGCCTTACTATCGAAAGTTGTCAAATAGAAGGGTCTCTTGATTAATACTGGTGATGAGCTCCTGTGTTTAAGCCTCACGCTGTAATGCGGCAAGATGCTGCGCTGTAATTGGCTGGAATTTCAAAAGCTGTTATCGTTGCTTTTCGATTTCTATTGTTTTGTTCGATGTTCCTTAGTGTAATTTGTCAATCTCATCATCGACTAATGAATACTCACACAATGTAGTCCAAACGTTAAATCGACGACCAAACACTGGGACAGACAATAATCCTTAAGCTTATTGCGCTTGCTGCGATAAGCAAAAATTTATAAATAAAAAGTAAAGATGTTAAGCCTGGGACTTCGGAGAAACTGATTCCCTAAAGAGAGATCCCGAGACGAGCGGTATGTAATAATTTACTGTCTCTAAATTTTTCCTTTTTTCCCCCCATCTAGGTCACCAAAGTCGAACTCATTGAAGGGGCCAAAGATGTAACGGAAAAATACCAAACGGAAATGACGGGAGGGAAGCGCCTCGGTATTGGTATTGGAGTTTGTCTGGCTGTGATTTTGTTTCTTGGCATCGTGTATTTCTGTTGGGTAAGTTTCTGACATAAAGTATGAGTCTGTGACGAAAAACATCTAAAACACCTTCACCTCCAACATTGTTTTCTTTAAAACGATCTTTAGGAAGCATTATAACTAATTTCTTTGCTAGCAGACCTGAATGAATAAGCTCAGTTCCAATTTTTTTTTTTTTTTAAGGGGAAGGTAACTCTCTTTTGCAAAGTCCAGTTGTTAAATAACCTCGGGGCGACGGAAGACCAGGGCCAAGTTTCTACTTCGACTAGACTTTTCTTCCTGGCAATTTTTTTCTTTTCTCCATGTCTTGTCAAACGTGGTCCAATAAAGTATCGAGGAGGCAAGGAAAGGAATTCAGTCAAAGAGGAACTACGGGCAAGAATGTCTCCTCTTCCGCTACTTCAAGTCCTTCATTATTACTTTTCTATCGCTTAATTTCCACTTTAGGCTGCAGTAAGGGTGCCCTCTAGTTTTTGTGTAATAACAACTTAATGTCTATAAACTGAGCTTTTCAAATTTAACAGACTGCACGCAGACAAGTAAAAAATGCAGGCCACACACTAAACAATAAACAAATGGTGTTCACTAATGAGGTAGCCTATAAAGAGGAAGCTAAAGGCGGGAGTACTGAGACTGTTTCAAGTGAACCCAAGGCCACTTAACCAGTAGCAGACTCACAGGACGATGACGAGCCTGAAGAGGTTGTGGTACATCAACGACCTCAAACTCTGGAGAAAACGCCACTCCTCACGGATAACCAAGATGGTCAAAGAGCTTTTGGAGGTGAGTTAAAACCACTATGACCACCAGACTTACAAGCTATGTCTATCTCCCTAGTTGCAGGAACTCGTGACATTATTATTTGAAGAAACGCTGTGGTGTAGTGGCATACTGGTACTCTGATTCGAGAAGTCCGAGATCGCCACTTGTTTTTCTTTTTGTATTCTTGTATTACTTGATGAAAAAGTTCATATTTTCAAAGTTAGAAATTCTAGCTTAAGGAGAAAAACAAATCCATTTTTCCATGCGGAGCGAGCCTGCGTCTGTCACAGATTATCCACGTCTCTGAGTCGAAGTCTCAATTAGATATTGTCCTCTCCGTGCACCCTCAGTCCCTGTGAGAATCGTTATCATAAGTGAACCAAACTCCAAACGTACTTTTCATAGCAGCGTTACAATTCACCGCATTAGACTTGATACAAGTCGTAATAGTCTTCTCTGGATAAGGTTGATAGTCACCGAGAATTTCTACGCCCTGATTAATTTTTTTTTATTTCCTTTGTAAGATTGAGAAATGAAAAAAATTTGTAAATATAAAAAAATTTAGAGACGGGCATTCTTCGGCGATTTCATTAATTGTTTTTCTTCCCTACTATTATTATTATTATTTTAATTTTTTTTTTTTTTAGCACCGTCCCATGAGAAACCCTTGGAGGCACCACTGGTCCATCCTGAGCCCGTCAATGATTTCCAAGAAGAACCTGACAAGCCAACGTTGGAACCGAAAGAAGAACCCATAGTTTCACCCGGCGAACCGTCGGCAGTGCCAATTAAATCATTTGACGAACCAGAGGCAGAACCAATCAAATCATCAGATGAAGGCATAGAAGAGCAAAGCAAGTCCCCGGCTGCGCCTGAGGTTGTTGTGGTTTTTAATGTCGTGTGATGTTTGATCATGATTCATTCGCTGTTTTTATGTTGTTTTAAGTTGGATGTCTTGTTGACATATTTTAGAAGTCTGATTTGATGAGGTTTATTTTGAAATTCTCTATTAGCTACCTCTCTGATGAGTTCGTCAGAAAAGCAGTAAGGGCCGAAAACGCACGTTTTTTATGCTGACAAGATGATTGTTGTTAACTCCCCAGTCAATAGTCTACGCCGCAACTTTGCATATCTTTTACGTCGACGATTCTTAAAAAAAAAATTTACGGAATCAAGTGGATATGGTTTCATTCTCTTCCTATAGACTTTCTATTAAACTTTCCTGCTGAATACGTTAAATAAAACTAAATGTCAATCAAGGTGAGTCATTGACTAAGCATGGCTTACCCGACAATCATGATTGTCAAAGTATATCTATTGAAAGTGAATAACCACATGCTTTAACTACTTAGAAGGTTTTATGTTTTAAGTGGTAAAGAGAGCTAACTAATATCTCGCTAACTAGAGTAACCAATTGGCTTGTCCTGTAATGTGTCCCACGCTCAGCCACTTGTTTGGAATCACATATTACTGGCGTTTATGTCCAACTCTACAGATAGCTAGGTAAGGAAAACGCTGCACGAGTGGTCCATCCAGCCGGAGCTGGATGGACCACTCGGGCCTTGTGGCGGGGTTCTCTAGAAGTATCAGCTCCCCCCTCCCACACACACACACAAACACACACGCACACACACACACACACACACACACACACACACACACACACACACACACACACACACATACTGGATGGGATGCCAGTATGTTGTAGGTTGCCCCTAGGCATTTTGTAAGCTTTCTGTGACAGTATTCCTATACTCATTTATGCTCTTGGGTGGGGTCTACTGCCCAAGAACATAACATGATAACCTGGCTAAGACTCGAACCCGGATCTCTCGATCCGGAGTCCAGCCTGATCACTGTCAATCCACCGCGTCTTCAATTCTTTAGATAACACCATAGGAATCTCCCCAGGTGACGGAAACTGAATCCCCGCCAGCCGAAAGTCGGCCTGAGCTGGCAAAAGAAGAGGATGACAAACCGGCTTCGGGAGAAGATGACGAAGAAATCAAACCTGATTTTGGCCAATCAGATCATAAAGACGAAGATCCTACCCAGGGTGCTATCAATTTGGCTTTTGAAGCCAGGGCTGAGGCGCCTGGTCACGAGAAAGAGAAAGATGAGGTAAATAACAAAACACACTAAGATATAAGGTAGTTATTTAGGCTATAGCCACACTGTAAGTAGAGATATTTTGTAAGCCACGAACGAGGGACTATTTTATTATCTTCTCCTTGTAGCTAACGTTTGTGCTATCTGTCTTCTGTACCTCTTGTTTTAGGCTACTTCACGTATAATTTATTCCTTTATCCTGTTTTGTCTTTAACCGAAGTCCTAAATACTAACCCTTTTCACTGAGAATAAAGTTGAAAGTTTACGGAGGCAACCAACTCTAGTTTTAGAGAAAAAAAAAAACCCGGAAATTTAATGAATTCCCTCTTCGAGTTTCACCTCAATTCATTCAATTTTTTAAATTGTTTTAACTTTTTCGAAATTTTCAAAATCCTGCCTAAACTGCTAAAGAATTAGACAGAGGTGGACTATTTATGCATTTCTGTTGTTTTTACACATTTTGTTTCATACGGTTGCCATGACGATAACATTTTCCTCCCTGTGTGAAGTCAGAGGTCAAGGAAAATTCATCTCCACAGTTCTTAAAAGCCAAAGTCCATCGAGTCCAGTCGTATTTTTCATTATTTAACCTAATAAATTGACTGACTGAAACATAAGCATTGAACAAACGGACAGACAAATGGAGAAGGAGAGAGGATAGAACATCAAAATTGCTTTGTGACACCAATATAACGATCGTCAAGATAGCGATAACGACTTTGGCGATGTGTTCTAACGACGAGTTCTCTTACTTTCCAGGAAACCAAATTTTAAAGACATTATCATGGGTATATTTCGGAAACGCGGTCAGCCAAGAGACAGTTTGTGATAAACTGTCAGTAGAGAGCTTTATGATGGTCACTCTCCTTTGCAAATACTATCTTCAGGGAATGCAATTTAGTTTTAAGTATATTATCTAAGTAGCTAATGTATTTAACTTTATCAAAAAAATGTTCCTTCGCTTGTTTTTCT